CCCCCTCAGACCCAGACCCACTGTCCTTTGTTTACTCAGTGGTGGCAGCCCGTCTGACCTTGTCTGTGGTCTGCCTGTCCCTGTGTGTGTAACTTCCAGTACTCGCTGTGATGGCTGGTTCTGTGATAGAAAAGGCTTATTCCAGTCCTCATGGCTGCCTTGTACAAAATCCGTTAGAAGAGAAAATGTAAAATATCCAATTTCTAACAAGACGAAAACAGCATTATGGAATTAAAAAGATTTTTACAATTGGTCTTGATTTTGATGTGAGCTGTTTTTAACCGAAATGTTGTCACTTAAATAAAAACCTTATTTGCCTTTAAGATGTGCGGTGATGAAAAAGCTTTTCTTTTATCTATTTTTATGTGCATGGTGTTTTGTCATGGGTGTTGGGTGCCCTGGGACTGGAGCGACACACAGTTGTGCGCTGCCATGTTCTTGCTGGGAATTGAACCTGGGTCCTCTGGAAGAGCAGCCAGTGCTCTTAACCACTGAGCCATTTTTTCTGCACTCTGGTTCTCTAGGCGAGAAGAACAGGAGCAGATGGGATGGGAGACACAGAGCTGAGCTCCAGTCCGACGGCTGTACACTCAGTGTGGTCAGAGCGTGCATGTAACAAAAATGCCAAGTGTCAAAGACAAGTTTTTATTATGAAAAAGCAATGTGATCTGGGAAACTGACACACTGGTATCTTTCTAGTAAAAAGACAGCAGATTTCTTAAATAATTTACAAAGAGCAGAAACTGGTCTTGACCAGTGTTCCCCTCTCAGCACGCCCACAGTGCCTCACACTGAGCTGATAGGTAGGCCTCAAGAGCTCAGGCTTGCACAGTTTACTAATATCTCCTTTCTTCCCGTGGAGCCCTGTGGGAGCGGGGATAAAAGTGGGTTCCCCAAGAACCTCTGCACTGGGAATAAAGGGGGTGGTTTCATGGGATGACTCCTGCAGGGCCTTGGTCCTAGTTACAAGGCTCAGAACCGCCTAGCATCTTCAGGTACATTCCTAATATGGATGGGCCACTTGAGACTGGAGAGCAGGTTGCCTATGAGTCCCCAGGAGAGCATGGGCAGTTCTCACCACCTCTTCAAGGTCTTCCTGCATCACTCAGGCTGTGGCCAGTGGTTACCAACGGGCCCAGATATAGTTGAAATAGAAGGATTCTGGATCCCATGTTAGTCAAGTCCTTGTTAGCAGCGGTCTGGGGATGCTGATGAGCCCAATTGCACCTCCTCCTGGAAGTTCATGGGGTGGGTGGCACAGACATTCTGATGGCTTGATGGCTGGACAGGGCCTGTTTCCTGTAAGACAGAGCTCCCATTGGGCTTCTCCCTATCTCAAGGCAAGGGATGTAGGAAGCTATAGCCCTCCTCTCCAGATCCAAAAGGTTGGAAGGCAGCTTCCAGTCCTTTGAAATCACAGGGTTCTGATGTGATCAGGAAGGGGAGCAGCTTTGGCTGAGGGAAGAAGACCCAGATACTCCCTACTCTGCTCTTTACCCACCCACCCTGCGGGGTTTTTTTTGATCCATTCACTTCCTTAGCACTCCTGCAAGCATGCATGCACATTTACACGTAGTGAAGGAGGAGGTGAGAGAGGAGGAGGAGACTGAGAAAGAGGGAGGGGATATTACCTGTAGGATGCTTGCTGTCCTCATTCACAGATAAGGGAGACAGTCATGTCACCACTAGGAATAGAGAAGGGGGTGGGGACTGATGAACTGGATGCTTTGTGTTCCGAAGGCATCCCAGCCCAGACTAGACAAGACCAGAACCTGGAAACATGGTGGGAACATGGCCACAGGGGACATATGGCCTAAAAACCCTTTATACAAATAGGAGAGAACGGTTTCCAAGTTAGGGAAGATCCAGAACAAGGCAATGTCTTCATGGTTGTAAGCCTGAGCAGATAGACCAGGGGCTCCACAGTAACCATGTTGCTTTTGCCAAGTACATGGTAGACAGGGTATAGAGGAGCCGTAAAAGGTAGTGGAGGAAGGGAAGGCCTCTCAAGAAGCAGGTACCCAGCCACACATGAAATTCAAGGTGATGGGCAAAGGTGAGTTCAAGGCCTGAAGGGCTCATACTGCATCCTTCACCATCATCCCAAGAGACTGGAGCATAGAGGGTCAGGGACTGGTCTTGACCATGTGGCAGACTGGTGTTGGAACAGCACTTCCTAGAAATACAGTATGGTTCAAGGGGCCCATGGCCTTTTCACCCTGATCCCAGGATGCAGCTCACCTCTCTTCAGCCTTGATGGCTTTGTCCAGCTTTTGGGACAGCTTCTGAAGATGCTGGATTCCAGCTCCCACAGGCTCTAGGTCACTGTCAGACTCACTGAACACAAGGAGATGCCACAGAAGGGGTTAGCGAGAGCCCTGAGCAGGACTTAGACAACCCTGGCCGACTGGGAAAGCCCCATTAGAGCCTCGCTGTGGCGTGCGACATGCAAGCCTGTGAGACTGCGCCATGGGGAAAGATTTTGCAGTCAGACGAAGGCTACTGTTGCCCTCAAAACTGTGCCCCAGGCTTCTAGATGTCCCCCGTCTAGAATGGAGTGGGACTCATCTCCTAATCCTTTACAGGTAGGGGAGAGAGGACTAGAGAGATTTTCCCCCCTTTCAGTTCCTGACTAGCTCTGCGGCAGACCTGGGCCAGGAAAAGGATGTGACAGATCAGGGAGGGTGTCCTCGGCTCAGGTAGTACTGAGGAGACTTGTGGGACAGGAAGGGAAATCATGCTGGGCTCAGAGACTACTTGCCTGGGAGAGCAGAGAGGTTCTGTGGAGGAGCAGGGGCTCCGGAGGGCAGCCTCCCTCCTTAGCCGCTGGCGTCGATGGCCGTGTGAACCCATCTGGCCAGAGAGGCGAGGATTTCCCCCAATTCTGGCATCCCGGTTGGCCCTGCATAGCCGAGTGTTCTTCTGGTTCAGACTGGGTGGTGGGGACCCACGGTCCTTCTGGGCTTCTCGTTTTCTCCTCACTTTCTCCTGTGTTCCCATCAGCCACTTGGTGCCGCTTTGGCACGACTCCTGGATTCTCTGTGATGGGTTCATGTGGGAAGGTGAGCACAGATAGGAACAAGGTGGGCTGCCAGCCTTCAGCTAGCCCACAGACACAGTCTGCTGTTAGTCTCAAGAGTGACAGTATGATTCCCTGTGGGATGGTACTCTCTGCAAGATCTTCCCAGAGACCCAGCACAGGGACATGGCAGGTAGCAGCAAGATCACACCACAACTAAGCCCTCTAGACAGAGACTAACCTAGAAAGTGAGGGAGGTTCAGTTTCCTGAACACTGGCTCACTTGCCATCCACTCTGGTCTTATTCCTTCTCCTCCCTTCTCCATCTTAGTCCACACAGACCCTTCAATGATATATCAGATAGCTGTGATCACAACACTTAATTGCTCTAACCCCTTCTATGGCCCTCTACACTCTGTAGCACCAAGTCCCAGACCTTGGATCTTTTACACGTGGCTGGATCAAACGGTTCTGCTTAGCTTGACTTTGTCTTGGCAAACCAGAGCCCAGAAGTTGGAGCAAGGCCCGAGGTAAGTTTGATGAGTTGGGTGGCCTTAGACAAGATGTCACATTTCATCGTTCTGAGTTATAGCTGTTGAAAGCAATCTTAGGGCTCTTCCAAGTCAGAGCTAGACTTTGGCCAGGAGGCCTCTCTGGAGAGTTGCCAGGAGCCTCTGTTCTCTCCCCATGCCATCAAAATGCCCAGAAAGATGCCCACCCCTTCTCTCCCTGGAGGTCTGTTCATTTTTACAGCTTCCGTTCTCTCCAGGGGCCACCTGCCCTCATCTCCAGCTCTAGGTTTAGAGACCTGGGGTCAGTGAGGTAGCTCAGCAGGTCGAGGTTCTTGCCATCATTTGATCTCCAGAATCCACATGGTGGAGGGGAGAGAGCCCACTCCTGCACATTGTTCTCTGACTTCCAGATGAATACCACCACGTGGATGCTCCTCCCATAAATAGATATAAACATTTAAATAAATACTTAAAAAGACAACTGCCTGGAAGGCTCCTGGGCACACTGCATCCGAACACCACCCCTCAAACCTGCCTTCTGAACGGCTCGAGAAGTTGCATCCTTCTGCAAGCCCAGCTCCTTTGCCTTTTCCTACCAAGTAGCTGACAGCCAAGCCATAGTAAGTAGTCTGATTGGGAGATTTAGACGGGGGTCAGCACATAGCATCTCCCCCTTCACTGTGACTCACACCAAGGCCCCTTCAGCATCCCGGCTGGACTCACACCATCCTGCTGGTCCTGTGTCTCCACAGACCTCCGCTTTCCTGTGTTATCTTGGAAGGGTGATCTATTCTAGGGAGGCTTTATCCACGAAGCTTGAGATTGATATCTCTTTATAGTTAGCCATTTCTTGCAATTTCCTATCATAGGGCACAGCAGGTTACCTTACATGGAGAGCATCAGTTTCTTCCATGACCTTTCTCACCCACTGATTTGTTGGGAAACTTATGTGCCAGGACGAGGGGGCGGGGCTGAGGGGGAAACTGCCAAGGACCATTTTTAACACCCAGGACACTTCTGTAAACAGATGGCTAGTGGTGTCATTGTTACCTGGGACATAGCACCCAAGGCGCATTTGGCTGAGCGAGCTGCACCCTGAAGACCCTGCTGCTCTGGTTCTGGGGTTTCCAGGCGTTTCCAGGAGGGGCCAGTCCCCAGGTTGAGGCTGACGGCTCTCAGTGGCAGCCTCCTTTGAAACTGTCTGCACAGGGAGCCCAGATGGCCCTCAGCAGACCGGGTCACCCCCTTCTCTAGATGTTCCTCCTTTAGGAGCGATCGTCTGCGCATGGAGGCCGTCATGCCCTGCCACTGGGACGCCATGTGCTTGGTCCAGTCTCCTCTGCCCGCTAGATCCTGGGGAGGTCAAAAGGTCATCAAAGTACTCTCTGGTCAAATTCCCAGGCATCAGAGACTCTGGGAACTGGGAAAGAGATGAAATGGAACCTCTTGGGGTAAACTTCTTGCGCAATATGTGGATGCCAGAAAGACGACCATGCGTCACGGTCAGCCCCTGCCTCGACTGCAAGGGGGCAAATTGTCTTTCCATCCCAGCCTTCTTCACGGAGGCTCAACGGAGAGCCACAGAGGTCACCGATCCTCGGCGCTTATGCAGGGCACCATTAGCAAGCGACTCTTTCATAAATTCGCGCTCCTCTGAGGAGCAGACCCTGGCCATCTTTCCAAGGCCTCGGATCCGATGGGTGCTTTAAATATCCAGATACCCCCTTTGCGTTGCAGGTCCTATCCAAAACCCCTGGCCCGCTCCCTTCTAGGAGCTGGCCGTGAGAACCCCTCCCCAAGCCCTCGTGAGACCCCCTCCCCAAGCCCTCAATGTCCCCGCACTCACCTCCCTGCCTGATAGCCGGGATCCGAAGACCAACACCCGCTCCTCGCCCACTGCACTCGATTTGAAACTCCGCGCGGCCCCACCCCGGCCGGGTACTCGCTGCTCATTGGCCCTATCAGCTTTCCGCCGCCACCGCCCCTGGATTCCGATTGGTCTGTTTCTCTCGTGACCATAAATCGTGCTTTGGGATTGGCCGGGCCACGCCCATACATCGCTCGGGACCCCCGCCTGGGTCGCTGCAAAGGGTCCAGAAGGTCCGGCGGTCTCGGTCTGACTGCTGTCACCTCCTGGTTGCAGGGTTTGGCGTGGCTACCCTCTTCCATGTCCATCGCACGCCCAGACCCTCCCCAGAGCCTGAGGTCAGGCTTCTCTGCGGGATGCTGCGGGGTCGCGGGACACGGTCACCCAGGGCACCCCTTCCAGCCCTTTACCCCACCTCTCGCATTCAAAAGTTTTGTCAGAGCGTTAGGCTGGACAGAACTGCTGAGCGCTGCGTTCCTTGGGAAGTTTTGTTTCAAATTCCCCGCCTGATCCTCTTCCTTCCTGAGAGACCGTCCTGCCCCTGTCAGTTCCTCAAACTCACCACCCGGCTGGCGCCCAAGAAAGCACATCTCAGAGGAGGGGACAGACTCTAGATCCCCCTCTCCATCCGTTAGGTCAGTTCCTCTGCCTGGTCTTGCCCCAGCCATCGCTTCCTTAGTCTTCCAGGAAGCTAACCAGCACCACCACCACTATCACCCAAAACAGCATGGTTTGCTTTCTCCTATGTACCTGCTTTTATTTTTGCAGTCTTGACTTTTTTTTTTTTAATTTTTAAAGGTTTTATTTTTGTTTTTAATTATGCATCTCTGTGCGAATTTGTGTTTGTGAATGCTTGCAGGGTTGGGGTGGGGTGTAAGGCAGAAGTCAGATCCTCTGGAGCTGGAGTTGGAGATGGTTGTGAGGCACCCCATGTAGGTGCTTACAACCAAACTCAGGTCTTTCTGCAAGAACAGTAGCGCTTTTAAGGACTGAGCCATTCCTCTTTCTTTCTTTCTTTCTTTCTTTCTTTCTTTCTTTCTTTCTTTCTTTCCTCTCTCCCTCCCTCCCTCCTTCCTTCCCTCCTGTCCTCCTTTCCTTCTTTTCTTCCTTCCTGGCTCAATCTCCCCAATATTGAAACCAAGGGTCCCGGGTGTGCCAGCACAATGGGGCCCACTTACCTTCTCCAAGAAGCATTATCGCTCCTCTCTCTTCCTGTCCCTTGCCTAAGCCTGGGGTAGGACTCCTAGAGACTCTTCAGGCCTCTTGCTGGTGTCCGGATTGTCTGACCCTCTCCCTGAGAATCTGTGTTCACCTCTCAACCCTCCCTGTGACAATGATTGATTTTTATGCAGCACTTTCAAGAACGGCCCCTGTGTATTCACGAACCCATTTACTCCCAATGCCACACAACTCTATGATGTAGCGGAGGTGCAGAGTGTAGGTTGGCCACGTTTCACTCAGTGTGAATGTGCAGCAGGGTGAAGGACCCAGACACGATCTACGCAAGAGCAGAGTTTCTGTGGACCAGGGTTGACCCCCTCACTGATGCTTCTCAGCCCTCACACCTCCTTCCCCAGCCTGGATCTCTCCCCTGACTCCTAAAGCCAGCAATCTCCTGGGTCCTATCACCTCCTGCTGGTTACTTAAAGGGAACAAACCCAAGTTGGAACCCCCCTGGTTTTCCTGATCTCACCCCCCAGCCATGGTCTCCCTAATCTTACAAGTGGGAACTTGTGAGTTATTAAATTCTGTGCTAAAAGGAGCTTGACAAATGTCCATTTCTTACTTCCCCGGGACTCAAGTTTAGCATTCCTGGAGAGATGAGCATCTCCAGATCAACTTCAACAATCAGGCAGAGAACCACATGTTATCCAAACCTGAGACCCAGGGCAAGAGCTGGCCACGCAGAGAGTATGCTTGCATCTGTCTGTTTGTGTGTCTTTGTGAGTGTGTGTTTGTGGTGTTTGCACATGGCAAATCATGTTCAAGGCCACTCTCTGTAAGAAACCTGACACACACACACACACATATGCAACCCCAGATAAAGTCTTCAGAGAATGGCTTGTGACTGCATGATGTGCTGAGAGGCTTTATTGCGGCCGATGAGCAACGGGTGCAGGCTGTGGTTTGCAAGCCGCGGCCCTCAAGAGCCTGTTGTCTTTGTCCGCCGGCTTCTCCTCCTTGGGACTATTTACCAGGAATCTCAGACTGCTTGTGTCTCTTGCATTTGTGATCACAATAAGAGAATACACCCAGTGAATCAGACGGAGGGAAAGAGAGTGGTTCCTGTGAAGACAGGGGTCAAAGCGAGGCGGCGTCTCAATGAAGATGAAACACTGGGAACGGATCTCGCAAAGAGTGTTTTGCTACATTCATCTCCTCAGCACCTGCCGCAGTGCCTGGCGGGTCAAGGCATTCACAATAATAGCTTATATTTTCTGAGCCCTTATCACGTGTCGGACCCTCAGCCGAGTGCATCGACGTTCTTCCTTCTCTGTTCTAGCTGCAGCTCTGGGAAGTCGGCTCTATTTTTATTCCCATTACCGCTGACGAAACTGGAGATTCAGACAGGCGAGACCCTAGGTCTCGTGACTCTGGGCTCTGTGTTCCTGTCTTCGGGTCACACATCCTTGCTGAGCATCTGGAGTGTGTGCATGCGTGCATGTGTGTGTGTAGAGAGTATTCTCAATGCCCGCTGCTCTCTCCCCTTTCACCACTCGGAGACATAACTGGCAGATCAGGTTAATGAAGGGAAGTCTCCATGGCAACGCAAGAAGGCAGAAGAAGTATTTTCTTCTGAATGGGAAGCTGCTCCCTTCAGCCTTGCATGGGAGTGGCTGGAGGGGGCTCCACACAGGCGTATCTCTTTGATGAGTGGTGGGTGCAGGGTCTCCTGCTCCACAGGAGGAGGACAATGCAGCAAGGGGCACAAGTGGGGCTTAGCCTCTGGAGGAGGGAGCTAGGGAAGGGGTGCTCCAGCAGCTCCCTCTCCCCCAGCTTTCACTCACTATTCCCATCCCCGGAATGATCACATCTCACAGAAAAAAAACTGACATCCAGCAGTTATGATGCTACGGACTTGAAGAGTCAGGGGCCATGGGAAGAGAAAAGGACACAGGGAGGGTGGGTGGCTTTTCCAAATATGTGACATTCTAGTTGAGGCACTGGGTGGAGGGGGATGCCAAGAACCTTGCAACATTCCAGGACTAAGGCTGAGAGAAGCAGAGGGCATGGCCAGGGTGGGGGCCAGGAGCAGAGACCCAGGTTAGGGCAGGAGCTTAGAATAGATCCAGGGTGGGAAGTCAGCTGGCTTTGAAGAGAAGAGCAGGTGACCAGAACTCTGGTCCAATAAAGGCTTTGAAAAGATTGAAGTCTGTGGCCTGAACAGGCAATGGACGCTCTCTCCCCAGCAGTGAAACCTGGTCCCTGGAATCCCTTTGCCCCTTCCCTTTGCTGTGGGCCTTTTGACTCTCTGCAAAGCACCAAATGGAAACAGTAGCAAAGTGTCAAGCTTGGAAAGGAGCACGGCTGGGTCCTTCTTTCCCATTGTGCATCTGATCAGGAGGGAGAAATGCCCCAAAGAGAAGCTGTGTTATAAAGAGAGTTATCATAAGGCAACTCACAGGCCATCCTCCATAGCAGGGGAGAACACTGCAGGGAGCTTAGGGTCAGGGCTGGGCCCTGGCCTAGGTTCTCCTCCCCCACCCCATGGCCATGGCCTAGGTTCTCCCCCCCCACCCATGGTCATAGCCTAGGTTCTCCTCCCCCATCCCACCCATTGCCATGGCCTAGGTTCTCCTCCCCTCACCCCATGGTCATGGCAGTGATGTCCCTGTCTGATCATTCTACCTCCTCAACACACATGCCCCTCTAGGCTGTCACATGGCTGGAGAAAGATGGCGGGGAAGAGGAAGAGGCCTCTGCGCCTTCCGTATTACTTGCTCCCCAAGACTGGGATAGAAACAAGTCCTGAGTTGGGGACCTGGCACTCAGGGAGGGCTTTCTAGAATTCTAGGCTTCATCCTCTGTGTCTGACCAGTTTGCCTAGATTGGTTCTTAAGGCAAGGACTCTTTATGGCAATCAAGACTTTTGAGGGTGCTGAAGATAGGGAACCCCAGGACCCAGGCCTTACTGGAGAGGGGAATTGAGGAATGGTGGATTGGAGACACGTAAGGCCTTCCTCTGATGAAGGAATTTTATGCAAGTTATAACGTCTCCCCTTTGCAAGGTCAGTGTTCTGCCTCTTGGTCACGAGTCAACGTCCAGAAGAGACTGATTTTGGGGTGCTCGGAGTCCATTATTAGCCTCGAAGCATGAGAATCTGAGGTGGCCACAAGGTGGCGCCAAACACTAAGTCTTCACATTGCATTTTTTTCTTCTCGTCTCCCAAGGGGGTGGGGGGGGGGGTCTCCTAAACGTCTCGCACGACCCAGGACTGAGGCCTAGCCAGACCTTAGAGTGGAGGCAGAAGCTTAGTGCTAGGAGTGCCTTAATTTCTCTCAGAACTGTTCCAACCTCTCTTAGTTACCCCAAAGTCAGAACCCCGCTGCTGCCCTCTGGTTACTTCTCCCAGCTCCCAGGGAAGTGCTAAGAGACAGAGACTGGACAAGGTTGGCACTGCAGGTGCAGGAGGGAGGGACAGTGGTGGTTTTGGGCCTCCACTCCCCTTCCCCTTGGGTAGTCCCACTGCCTTCCTCCTCCACTCCCTCCTCACGGAAACATCAGCTGACCTCTTTTGCTGAGGTCGAAAGAAAGCAAAGCCTGTGGGTGTCAGACTCAATGGAGTTTGTAGTGGCCAGACGTCCTACCTTCCTCCCGTGTCCCTTCCCTGCCAGGAAATCCTCCAGGTGCCAACTGCTTAACCGTCCTTTCCTGTGGGGGATTATCTAGTCAGTTTCTAACTGGGTGTCCGTAGGATTATCTAAGTCTGCACAGACCTCTCTCATCCCTGCAGCATGGACGTCTCTCTGCTCCTCAACGTGGAGGGTGTTAAGAAGACCATTCTGCATGGGGGAGTGGGAGAACTCCCTAACTTCATCTCTGGCTCCCGGGTGAGTAACCTCCCCCCCATGGTCCCTTTCTGAGTTTCCAGCTGTGCCCAGGGCATTGCAAATAGCTTTTGGTTCAGCCCTAATCCAGCCAGGCAGGCCTTTTCTGAAATTGCCCACCCTATGCACCTTGGCTGCCCTGCTTTGAGGTTTATAAACAGGCTATTTTGGGGGGTAGTTTTTGGGGTAGCGTTAGTGCGGACTAAGGGGTTGGGGGTGGGCGATTTTCCAGAGCTCCAAATGTCAAGTGAATAGGAAGGAATCTCAGGAGTTCTGGTGTTTGTCCCCCTGTGTTTGATGGGTCTCCCAGGGTGGATGGACGCATCCCTGGACAGTTGAGCTTATTGGGGGAAGGAATTCTTGACTCTTGGTAGTGAGAGATGGGCACGGGCTATGCTAGAAAGAAATGGGTTCCTTGTGGGCACTTGTAGGGTGTGTCTGACGCACCTTAGCTTATCAGGCGTGGATGAGCTGACTCTGAGGAGAGCCCCAGGGACCTGAGGTGGCTGGGTGGCCGCCGCTGGAATTCGGGAGGTATCTCTACACCAGAGCCCTCTGTTCTGGGGACTAGGTGACGTTTCATTTCCGAACCACGAAGTGTGACGAGGAGCACACGGTGATAGATGACAGCAGGCAGGTGGGCCAGCCCATGAGCATCATCCTCGGCAACATGTTCAAGCTGGAGGTGTGGGAGACGCTGCTGACGTCCATGCGGCTCGGGGAAGTGGCCGAGTTCTGGTGCGACACCATTGTAAGTAGGCCGCATGGCTCTTTCCCCACTTGGTCCCAGCACACTCTTCCTGGAACCGTCAAGGTTCAGGAAAATTAGGGCAAAACAAGCCTCTCTATTCTAGCCTGAATTCCCATTGTCTGTCATTACAAACGTGGTGACCTTCAGGCAAAGCAGGCCTTAAAGTGACATAAAATGTATGGGTGGCTGGGGAGCTTTGGAGAGGACCTTGGAGTAGGAGAGGGTCACCCCTGCCCTTTTCTTTCTGCTCAGTGAAGCGAGTCCTGGAGTCTGTGGTCACCGGGCTTTTTTTTTTTTGCCCTCCCCCATTCTTTCCAGCTCTATGACTCAGTTCATATTTACGTCACTCATAAGTCATCTTTACAACGTCTTGCTCTGTGATTTGGAGAGACAGGCGCTTCTTAGAGAAACTTGCGAACTTGCAAAAGTCAGGAGAAGCCTATCAAGAACCTGCCCCCTAGGCTGGCACAATCAGCCCATCACCCTGTCTTGAGTCTCCTTACCTCCGGGGCACTTCCCTTCCTCATCCCACGCTGCGTGGGCAAATTCCAGGCATCGTGGCCATTCATCTGGGAACACTAGGTTTGGTGACTCTGAAGCTACTGGACATTTGAAAAACACAGCCACGGCACCGTTGTTAAATCTCCAGAGAACCCAAACACCCCCTGCACACTCTCTAATTGCCTGACACAGGATTCTCTGACTATCTCATTTAGTCCCTTTACAAGATTTAATTTTTATTTTTAAGTGTGTCTATGTAGATCCGTTCACATGAGTGCAGGTGTCCACGGGGTACAGAAGAGGGTGTTGAATACTCTGGAGCTGGAGTTGTAGATGGTTGTGAGCTGCCTGGCATGGGTACTGGGAACTGCGCTCTATTCCTCTGAAGGAACAGCAAATGCTCTTACCTGTTGGGTCACCACCCGCCCCCCCCATCTCGCTCATTTATTCTTTAGAAATGAGTGGCATTTGTGTGTGCAGGCAGGATCCAAACAAAACCACAGGCTTTACCTGTGTGGCTCTGTATCTGTCTCCCTGGGTTTCTTGGCCCTTTAAGGTCATGGAGGGAACTGAGTTAGTGGTCCAGGAGATATGCACATTTGGATTCTGCTGGTTGCTTCTGAATGTAATTATCTGATATATTCCTTTATTTCTTGTATTTCTGACAAATGAGCTTTTTGTCTAAAATCTTTTTTTTTAAATATTTATTTATTTATTATGTATACAATGTTCTGTGTGTGTGTGTGTGTGGCCAGAAGAGGGCACCAGACCTCATTACAGATGGTTGTGAGCCACCGTGTGGTTGCCGGGAATTGAACTCAGGACCTTTGGAAGAGCAGGCAATGCTCTTAACCACTGAGCCATCTCTCCAGCCCTGTCTAAAATCTTGAAAAGTCTTTCATTCTTTCTTCTCCTTCTCACTGATTTGTTTTTGTCCAGGGTTTCATGTAGCCCAGGCTGGCTTCAAAATCCCTATGTAGCTGAGGATGACCTTGAACTTCTGATCCTCCTGCCTCTACCACCCAGGTGTGAGGATTACAGGTGTGTGCCACCACATCTGGTTTATGTAGTACTAGGGACTGGGAATTTGAGCATGGCAGGCAAGTACTCCCCACCCCCAGTCTTTGTTTTAAAGTCACGGAGAGCTCTGTGAACGTCTCACTGAGGGCCGCACGGTACCTGCCTATCATCACAGGCAAGATTGAGATTGATGGGTGAGTTCAGGTGTTGACAAGCTGAGCTGTCTATCACAAGGCTCCCCCTGGATCTTCACAGTGGATGGTGGTTAGATACTCTTTATTTCGTGGGGATCTAATGACCCTTTTGAAAGAGCAGTTTGGTAGAGAGATTGCATTTGAGACGTATTTTATTAGTGTGGAGTGACCTGGGGAGATTCTTTCTCCTCTTGCTACTCTGTCTCCTCATCTGTAAATGAACAAATGGCGTGTTCGGGGCTATTTTGGGAGTCACAGGATATGATATAAATGAGCGGAAGTCATGGTGCGCATACGGCAATTAAAAGGTAGAAGCTATTATTTTGAGCTAGAAGGATGTTGAAGGTTGACTCCTTTGTTTTACTGAGGAGCCTTACTCCAAATATGACTCTGAGAGAGGAAGTAATCTGCTCTGGTTCAAACAAGCAGAGGGGCAAGATCCAAGTGGGATCCTTAGCCTTCTTGTCCAGTACCTGCACCTTTTAACAGAGACAGACTGCAGTACAACCGTCTACCACTAGGGGATGCCATACACTACACGACTCCCCTGTGTTCCTCAGCATACTGAAGCCCAGCATCTTTTCTTTGCAACACTCTTGTTGTTATTATTTTAATCTTAATTTCCTTTAACTTAAACAATGTCTTTCTGTCAAGTCAGGCCTTCATTCAGTTGGTTTATTCTGTTATGTGAGATTAGAACCACCCCTTCTGCCTTTGCTCTCAGTGAGGCATCCCCGAGCTTGGAAGACCCCTATGCATCTACTTCAGGCTTTATGTCTACAAGTTCTTGTCATCAGCAAGAGCTCCCTCACCTCCTCAGGGTGCATGTTTGCTAACATGGTGGGCTTCATGCACAGAAGGCTGTCAATGCAGTCTTGATTCGTTGATTGATTTGTTGTGCAAAGCCACAAGCTGCTGCTCACTCCAGGAGCAGTTCCTGGGGCCTTTGATGATGGATTGGGAGGTGGGCTGTAAGCTGAAATAAATCCTGTCTGCCTCAGGTTGCTTTTGCTCATGGTGCTTTATCACAGTAATGGAAACCAAACTAAAATACCTGCCCTAGGAAGAGTATATGTAACTACGTTTAGTCAGCCCCTTCTCTGTGGGCAGCCTCTACTCAGGAACCAGAGTTCTACATAGATTCAGTCACCAGTAGGGCAGGCCCAAGAAGACCTGGCTAAGCAGTCGTTGGGTGTCACTTCCTGTCCTGCACTCTGCCTGGACTGTCCTTGTTCAGTCACCTTGGAGTTATATCTTTGCAGGAATATGGGCTGCCTCCCTCTCTCCCCCAGTACAGAGGGGCAGGGTGGGTGAGAGTTCCTGGCCCTCTGTCTGCCTCCAAGGGCCTGTCTCCACCTCGGACCTGTTGTTGGTGCTCAGAAACAAATTCTGATTCCACAGGATCTGGGTCCCCATTTGTCCAATGGGTAGGGGCAGCTGTTTTAAGTTCATGCAGGGAATGGGCTAGCAGCCGTATCCGCAGCAGCCGCAGCAGGATACTTGGGTTCTGGATTCCATCACGGATCTGCAATATTCTGTTACTACTTTGTGTTTATACACCGGCAATAAATTTAAAAACCGGACGACCCCCCTCCCCGCCCCAACCAAGCCCAACACACTGAGAGTCAGTGGATGTGGTCTGTAACACTGCAGGTGGCAGCTTCCAGTCCAGACAGGGCCTTGGCCTGAGCCAGGCTCTGACCTCAGAGCAAAGAGGGAACCATGATGATGGGCTCCCTGATTGGTCGAGTCCTCAGATGTCTAAAGCCCATGGGTGACAATGACTGCTCCTACAGCCTGTAACCTGGTAGGAGGGCTCCAGGATCCCTCCCTTTCACAAAGTTGGTGCTAGGAAAATGTCCACAAACTTGGTTCCTTCTTCTAGGTTCTATCTTGCTCCTGATGTCACTCCATAACCCGGGGCATGGGCTGGGGCACCAGACCTGCCAGGTTGGCAGGTATCTAGTAGAATACAGCCTTTGTCTGAGGTCTTGCTTAAATGGCCCCAGTAGACTCCTCCCCAAAGCAAGCTGGCGGGAGGAGGATACTTCCTCCCTTATTCTAGCCTTAATCCTTCAGACGGCTGCCATCTGGCTGTGCCTCTCAGAAGTCAGCCCAGGGCATTTGGGCTAATCCGGGCCAGTGGGGGTAGGGAGAATGACCTTCAGCCTTTAGCATCTGTCCTTTCCACCAGTGGAGGGACAGGAATGGCTTCATAGCCATCTGAACTTGACCTCTGTGGAGATAGGCTCTGAGGCTCTACCAAAGAGTTGAGGCCTAGTATGGGGCAGGCCTTGCTGAACCCCAAGGGCCAACTCTGGATCAGACCAGACATACACGTGCACTGGCACATTCAATGGCTCTCTCAGGTTTAGGACCCTGCTCCATTCACTGCTACATCCTGGAAGCCCTGGGACTCCTTGGGGGAAGAAATGTATTATGCTGACCCCAGGGCTATAAAGGGGCAACGTGTGGCTAAAGGCACAACTTGGAGAGGCGAGTTCAAATCCTGTCTGTGTCATGCCTGACTGTGTAGCTTTGAGGTCTAACCCTTCTGGGCTTCTTTTCTTCAGCTGTAGCACAGGGATATTCACAGTGACTCTTTTGCTGGGTAGTCATAAGGATTAGAGGTGCCAACAGGTTTAGCGCGGTTGTGCACACTGTGAAATACAGTTGTTCTGGTAGGTGTCCTGGGATGGCAGTGCCCATGAGAAGGGTCCAGCCCAGGCTGAGTGTGGTCTGGCTAGCTCTGAACAGACAGCTAAGACAATGCTCCTTCATCTCTCCTACAGCACACAGGAGTCTACCCTATGTTGTCTCGCAGTCTACGGCAGGTGGCTGAGGGCAAGGACCCCACCGGCTGGCACGTGCACACGTGCGGGTTGGCCAACATGTTCGCATATCATACTCTGGGCTACGAGGACCTGGATGAACTGCAGAAGGAGCCGCAGCCGCTCATCTTCCTGATTGAGCTGCTGCAGGTGGGAGCCAGGTGTGGGAGGGGCTGGCCCAGGTCAGGAGGGATCCTGAGGACTCCTGACCCCATGCCCACTTCACTTGCTTCTCCAGTAAATGAGAGGCTGGCCAGGGACCCCAGCAGAATTGAAAGTTGCAAGCCCCCTCCAAAGGAAAACGCTCATTTGGAAGCAACATTTGAAAAATGGGATTTAATTTCATTTTTGAAGCATCTTTATTTAATTGGTCATCTGTCTGCTTCCATTTCTGCAAGATTTAGGGTTGCAGCCTCCTTCTTGGTTCCTGTAACTTGTGGGTTTGGACTTGGGTCTGGCACAGTAAGAGAGCCTGCATGAGGCTAGAAGCGCCAGGCTCAAGGTCGAGGCCAGGCCAGGACTCAGCTTATGACCAAGGTTGAAGCTCAACCTGAGGGCTGTATGGGTAAGGAAAACTAAAAAAGAACAGTTGTGTGGTTTGTGCACTGTGCAGGAACATCCCTTCAAAAGCGCTCTTTGTAGACATTACACGTTTGTGTTATTATGATGACAAATTCTCTCCAGATGGCAATAAAAGTGTCTTGTTCTAACACAGCGAGCACTCATGACAATCTTCCAACTACTGGAAGTAAACTTTCCTTAAGAAAGGAGCCTTTTCATAATTTCCCCAAAGGCACTGACTTGCTTAGGGCAGGGCTGGATCTTGTTGCTTCCTTGCTCTGTTCTCAAGGTCTTGACCAGCATACCCGACACTTGGTGTGGTGCCTCACTGTAGGACATGGCAAACCGCTTCAGAAGGATGCTGGGGTCATCTCGCTGGTCCTTTCCTGGCTAACGTGTAGCTCCTGGACTAGGTGGAGGCCCCGAGCGAGTACCAGAGGGAGACATGGAATCTGAACAATGAAGAGAGGATGCAGGCCGTGCCTCTCCTTCACGGGGAAGGCAACAGGCTCTACAAGCTGGGTCGCTACGATCAGGCTGCCACCAAGTACCAGGAGGCCATCGTGTGCCTGAGGAATCTTCAGACTAAGGTTGGGAGCGACCGCTGGCTGGGTGGGCTGGGATGAGCCTTACCCAGCCGGTGGCTGACTTCTGCCTTGCAGGAGAAGCCCTGGGAGGTGGAGTGGCTGAAGTTGGAGAAGATGATCAACACCTTGATCCTCAACTACTGCCAGTGTCTGCTGAAGAAGGAGGAGTACTACGAAGTGTTGGAGCATACTAGCGACATCCTGCGCCATCACCCAGGTGCAACCCTGGCAGGGGTGACGGGGTAGGGGTGAGGGAGCAGTGGGAGGGGGGGAGTAGGAGTGGGGGTGGAGAAGTGGGGGGGTGAGGGTAAAGGAGCAGGGGTGGTGGAGATGGAGGTGGGGGTGGGGGAGATACAGACAGCCAGGTCACCGCCACTGGCACTGGCCTCACGTGGCCCTTTCTGTGGTGAGAGGCACAGAAGCTTGTCTTCAACCTGTTGACTTCCCCAAGCCTGCAACTGCGTTGTCGGTGCTTCTGGGTGGGTGATATTTATTGTGGGAGCTGTTTGTTTCAAACTGAGGCTGGCCATGTAGCCCAGGCTCACTGGGAACTTGTGATCCTCCTACCTTAGCCTTTAGAGCTCTGGGTTTTACAGGTGTGCACGATCATTGGCTTTAGGGAGGTGGTTTTTAAAATCTTATTTATTTTTATGCTTTTCAAATGTGCATGTGGCTGTTATTCCATTAGTTTGGGAGTAGTAACCAGGCTTTGAAAGGAGGCCAGCAATTGAGAGAAAAATATGGGATCAACATTGAAAGAAAAACGTGAAATTGACTTTGGTAGTATTTGAGAAGGAGTTTACAACTAACACTAAGCAGGATAGCACAACGTTTGCTGCAGGCGATAAGTACTCCACCCTTGTTATTGCACTGAGTCTCACCGTCACTCGGATTGGTCAGGCACATTAACAGGGTCTGATGGTGACAAAGCTTGGGTCCTCAGAGGTAACAATACAAGAATTCTGAAGGTGAAATTGGTTACTGCACTGGAAAGAAATCGAGGTCAGGAGGTCTGATGCCAGAGCTCTCTTGGGCTGGTCGGTTGGGTGCAGCTCGCTCCTCTCTGCAGGGATCGTGAAGGCCTACTATGTGCGCGCACGTGCTCACGCAGAGGTGTGGAACGCTGAGGAGGCCAAGGCGGACCTCGAGAAAGTACTGGAGCTGGAGCCTTCCATGCGCAAGGCGGTGCTCAGGGAACTGAGGCAGCTGGAGAATCGTCTGTTGGACAAGCAGGAGGAGGAGCGGCAGCGCTGCCGGAATATGCTGGGCTAGGCACGGGCTGGGCTGGGCTGGGCTGGGCTGGCCAGGGTAGGAGCTGCTGTCTGAAACGCTGGGCTGAGGACTGGGGCAGTGGACTGGGCCCTGAGCTCACGCTGCCCCACTTGCTCTGCAGGGTGCCCCAGGTCGCGGTGGTGTCCTTGGTTGCCATGAGACTGTCAGTGACTCCTCTGCAGTTGGTCGCACAGCCTGTGGGCCACATTCAGCAAGCATAGCCCGAGCATCCCTGGTTCAATTAACAAGGACCTCGATGTTGCTTTTTAGCATATACTCATACTAAATTATATTATGACTAATTTCTGAGGGCTGTGGATATAGCACAGTGGTAGCGAGCTTGTTTAGCAATCCTGGAGCCCTGAGTTTGATCTCCAGTATAAATAGATACATATAAATAAATGTATTTTGTGGGATCAAAGTCATAGGTGCCCATGAAAATCAAAAGCACTCCCCCCCCAAATTAACAAATGGCACAGGCTAGCTCCCCTTCCTTAGTTCGGGTGCAGTAATCAACCTTACTTTAAATTAAAATATTTAAAAACGATTTATTAATTTTAATGTGTATGTATATATGTGTCTCTGTGTATATATGCCACGTGCACACGGGTATCCAAGGAGGCCAGAAGAGGGCTTGCAATCCTATAAAGCTAGAGTTGCAGGTGGTTGTGAGCTGCCCTATCTGAGTGCTGGGAACCAAACTCAGGTCCCCTGGAAGAGCAGTGAGTGCTCTTGACTGCTGAGCCTTCTCTCCAGTCCCAAAAGGAAAAAAAAAATGTTTTTAATTAGCACTCACAATTGGTTTTCATTATGGTGTTTTCAAGCAAAAGTAGTTTTTGTTGATTCTCTCATTGCTCTTCCTGTTATGTCCAGTTTTATTTTTCTAGTAGTTCCTCCCACCCTGTCCCCATGTTAGTGCCCACTGCAGCCTCTTGCTATATCCTGTATCCGTGCTGATTACAAAAAGGACTCCCGCCACCTTTTCCTGAGTTTGGGTAGCCATATTTTGGGCCTCTGATTCTCTTGGTTCTTTTTTTTTTTTTTTTTAAATTACTTTATAGTCACTAGACACAGAACCCCTCAGACTGCCACTGACCTTGGTGTCTCTGGGGACTCCTGGAAGACGGATAGTGCCAGCATCCACTGTGCTACTCTCTCCGTAAGGATGGGGTGACTTCCTTTTCCATCATGCCTGTAGTTAACATCCAGCCCAAGCTTAGCAAACAAATGACTCTGTCCTCAGGTTGACTGGAAAATCTGAAAATCAATAAACAACTTTGACATGAGGGTGGCTGTGCTGTGTATTCCCTGCTGGGCTTTCGCTGCAGCTCTCCTGATTCTTTAGTCCCCAGGTCACCAGAACAAGGACAATCCTGGCATCCAGGGGTTCCCATGGCAGCCCCCCTAGCCTAGGAGAAAAGGTGGCTCATTTTTAATTGACGCGTGTCTGAGTCTACTAGACCACCTGTGTCCGTGGTGAGGAGGGAGCGGGAGGCAGGAGAGGACAGAGGAAGGGACATCGTGACCTGATGAAGCCACGGAGTCCTGAGCTGTGGAGCAGGGAGGGAGGGCAAAAGGACCTTCACCGTCTCCTCCAGCAGTGCTGCCCAGGAGACCCCTGGATGGTGCACACCGCCAAAGCACCTGTGTGGCTCTGAGCAGAGGAGGACCCTGGCAAGGGACCTTAATGAAGGGCCAGGAATGACGGCCCCAGACTGCCCCTTTCCTCCCTCTCTTCCCTCACATTTCTTCCTCTCTCTCTCCTTTCTTTTATTCCCCTTTTCTTCTAGCCCTTCTTTGGGCTTCCTTGTGTTGTTTTTGAGACAGGGTCTCACTGTGCAGCTCAGGCCGGTCTGGAACTTTGCGATCCTCCTGCTTCCAAGGCAGGGATTGCCAGGCATGCTATCCCTTTTCTGTGTGCAGAGTCCTCTCCATTGCTTTTCCTTCTTCAGTTAGAGAGGATCCCACCTTACTTGTCAATATACATCCCACAGCCTCCCCCACACAACCAACGCCTCGAGGCATCTACAGGCCCTGATTGGTCCTGTCTGACCCTTCTAGTTGGGGATCATCCCTTCTGATGACGTAGGAAATTTGGGAGCCCAGGACGCCTGTGAACTATGGTGGGAGGCACACTGGAGAGAGAGTCCTATTGCTACTGGAACCCAAAGATAATGATGGGGCCATGGAAGTCCTGCTCAGAAGCCACTGTATCTTATACCTAGCTCACTCGTGAGGAGGGGGTGATGCGAAAGTGGCTAAGATGCCCCCAACTATCCATCCAGGACTCTGGTGCATGCCTGGGTTTCCTTCTGTGCTCTGGAAGCAATCTCCTATGAGGTCCTGGCTAAGGGATTTAAGGGATGGGCATATCTCACAGGTAGCCTTCACAAGACTACGTTCCCAGAATCTAGCCAGCAGGGGGCAGCAGACAACAAGCAGCCTGACGTCCCTGGGGGTCTGACGCCATTCTCCACCTCCCTTGACCACCCCTAATGCCTGCAGTGTGGTCACAGCCAAGGGGGCACTTAGAACGAGATCACTGGGAGACTGGGGACTCAGGGAACCTAGTTCCCACCGGCTTTGTACAGTCTGGGAACCCGAGGCTCAAACGGAAGGTAGATCCTAGATGAGCACTCAGGCTTCAGACTTCTGGCTGGGACTTTGTGGGCTACTCTGGGCAGCTCAGCAGCTGATACATGCTGGGAATGATGCGTGAAAAAGGAAAGGAGAAAAACGTAAAGCTCATGTAATGAAGCAAGCCGGCCTTCTAGTAGTCTCTGCATGGAAGCAGTTAGAGAGGCCGAGACAGGGTCTGTGTGGATTCCTCAGCCACGCTCCCTCCCTCTTAGAGTCAGTACATGTTAGTCAAGGCGTCTGGGCTAGGTGTGAGCCGCTGTTTGAACTGCGTCCTAACTGGAGTAGACCTAGATCCAGATACCAGGGAGCCATGTGTGTTTCTCCCATCCTTTGCAGGTATGTTGGTCCTATAGCTCCTACAGCAGGGTACTACAAACAGTGGCTGAAATTGACACAGCACCCTTTCTGGGTCTGAGGGCAGGTCTTCTGGAATGGGCCAGTCTGCGGTCTTCTCTCCAGACTCACCCTTCCAGGTCAGTAGGGGAGCATCTTCCAGTCTCTTTGTCCCCCTGGTGTGTCACCATTTCTGTGCCTTTGAACTTCCTGTCTCCCTTTCATGGAACCCCTGGGATGATTCTGGGTCTACGTGGATAGCTCAGAAGACTGTTTCCACCTTGGGACTCTTGCCTTGACCATATCTGCACAGTCTTTGTGGGCCCTGGAGATGGGGCCATGGGCATCACTGGGGCACTTCACTCATTTCAACAGTCAGCTAGTCCCCATTGTCTCCATCTGCCATGCTGTGTCCTGTAGATGTAGCCACCATGGCTCCTTCACCTTGTTCTCCACCTGATTTGGCCAACAGGTGGTTCTAGGAACCTCAGGTAGAAGAGAGATTTTAGAACTTGTTCCTCCAAGTTCCTCCTTGCTGGGCAGCTGTTGTGATATTTGACCTGTGCTCCCAAGGGCTGCCTGGCCTCAGCTGTTAATGTCCCTAGAGTGGCAGTAACATGCCCTGCAGGCTTTCATATGGTCATGGATCCCTCTCTCCAGGCTCCTGGTGTTCACCATTCCGTGTTTCCTCCAACTTTTCTTCTTTCCTTCCATTGGGCACTCACATGTTCTTCAAATGGCACCTGTCTTCTGTCACGTGTCCCTTGGGCTAGAGGCAGTGGCAGGGCTGAGAATGATCCAGCAACATATTCAGGTGGTATAGCCAGGCAGGACAGAGCCAGGATTGGAGTTCAGCCCCAGAAGTCACAAAGGGGACCAGAGGTGACATTTTCCTGTCTTATCCTATCCTCACCCTGTTGACTGAGGTTTCTGTCCCTCCTGGTCCCACAGCCGATCAGTCCCAAAGAAACACATAGAGGTCTATGTTAATCATAAACTGATTGGCCTATTAGTTCAGGCTTCTTATTAACTCTTACAACTTACATTAGCCCATAATTCTTGTCTGTGTTAGCTACGTGGCTTGGTACCTTTTATCAGTGAGGCATTCTCATCTTACTTCCTCTGCCTCTGAGCCTTTCCTCTTCCTAGAATTTTCCTCTTCTGGTCACCCCACCTATACTTCCTGCCTGGCTACTGGCCAAACAGTATCTTATTAAACCAGTACAACTTACAAAACTTTATAGGGAATAAGACCATTGTCCCACATCAGCCCTCACAAGAACTTTGCTTAGTTGACATCATCTGATGGCTTCAAGTGAAGAACTGTTTGCCAGGAACACAGTCTCAGGGTCCATGTCATTGCAGGTGGGACTTGGCAACTGGATGTATTCATGCCTGGTGCTTGTTTGCAATTCCAATCTTGTGAAGGTCCCAATTCTGATTCAAGATGGCATTGGTCCCATCCAACCTGGAAAACCATCACACACACACACACACACACATGCACACATGTGCATGCACACACACATGCACACATGTGCATGCACACACACATGCACACATGTGAATGCACACACACACAGAGCACACATGGCATGCTTGGACTTTTCCTCTGAGCACTAGATCCTTCCAGTGCCAAGTCAGGAAATCCTGGCATCACCCAGCTCATGACAGTCTTCAGGAAGCTGGTGTCCAGCATTACTTTCTCTGACAGCCAGCATCTGGACTCTCCCTTTCTGGACTTGCCAGGTTTTATAGCTGGAAGTGCCATGTTGAACTTCACCTTGATCCACTGGTCTGAGTGGTGGCATCATTCTGCTTGGCAGAGGGGGCATTTGGAGTACTGCTTTCCCCCTCCCACCTCATCCTTGAAGGCAAGTCCTCACACTTGCTTCCCATGCCCCGAGTCTGCGCAGCTCCTGGCCTAATTTTGTCTGTCCCATTCCTTCCGCTGTTCTCATAAGTGAGAGACTGTGATGAACAAGGGATCTCACCTTTCCTCTCACCACCAATAAAAATATCATCTG